CACACCTAAGGGACAGGGCCGCCCACAGTGGACTGGGTTCCCTCTACATCCATTAGCCATCAAGAGAATGCCTCCTAGACACGGCTACAGACCAATCTAGTGAAGGCAATACCTTAAGTGGAGCTCCTTTTACCAAGGCGGATCATACTGACAAGCAAGATTAGCTGTCACTCATGCCTACCTGATGTTTCCACTACCATGGAGCCCTGGATCTCACAGAGATCCGCCTGTCTCTGCCTCCCGAGTGCTGGGATTAATAGCATGCACCACCTTTAGTTATAGCAGTTGAGCTGGTCAGCATGAGTGTGGGAAGGAACTGAAGTCCACTGGAAGAGCGAGAGGTGCTCCTTACCCCCTCACCACCTCTCCAGACCCTGGCTTCCTAGATTGTTCAAAAATACTTATGTTCTTGCTACTATTTGGCCTTTTCTTCCTCCTGGATCTGTTTCTCCCCCACTCCGCTGTTTACTGTGACCTCGCCCTAGTTTTGAGACTCTGAGCAATCCACTCATAGAGTCTGATGCTGGCTGCTAAGAGGCACTTTCTGGCTGGAGCCATGGCTCAGCTGGGGGGAGGGGTGTCACTTGCAACCAAGCCTGATGACCTGGGTTTGATCCCCAGGCTCCATGTGGTGGAAGGGAAGGATCAACTCTGGCAAATTAACTATCAGAAGAAATTCCTTTTTCCAAATTCTGACAGACAAAAGCCAGCATTCCCTTGGGGACTTGGGAAGCTGATTCCCACTTGCTAAGAGGAGTCATTCTCCCTGTCTTGCGGAAAGGGGACCTACGGCTCTTCCATTAACACATCAACACGTCTGATCCAGGCTAGCCTCCAAGCCCCCACCCCAGCTAACAGGCTCCCTTCCTCCCAGGTTCTTACTCCCTTAGAACCCAGAGGATTTCCCCCACCCTTTCGCTTCTCCCAGCTTCCCCTGGGGCAGACAACCTTGGCAGTTTGGAATAAACTTTCCTTTTCACTCAGGAAGCAGGTATTTCTGTATCAGTTTCTTTACTGTGCCCTTCACACTCGTTGACTTCTGACCTCCAGCTGTTCACCATCTCCACACTCAAATCGAACACACATACAATAGATAAAATGCAATATAGATTTAATGGATTTTTTTTTCCAAAGAAGCACTTTCACCCTCCCCAGCAAGCTGGACACGTCAGGGGGATTACCATAGGGCTGGCAATAGACTTATAAAGAAGTCCCAAGTCTGGCGGAGGTGGCGCACGCCTTTAATCCCAGCACTCGGGAGGCAGAGGCAGGCAGATCTCTGTGAGTTCGAGGCCAGCCTGGTCTACAAAGCAAGTTTCAGGACAGGCACCAAAGTTACAAACCCCACCCCCACAAAAGCCTTATCATTGGGTTGGATGACCTGTGATTAGCTCAACCAGAAAAACACAGAGTAGTACCGATCCCTCGATCTCCTGGCCCCTCTCACGGTGGGAAGAGCAGAGCTTTGAGTGACAGCCTGGACAAAGGCTGCCATCAGTGGCAGACACTGACCAAGCCCAGACTCTCTCTTGCTAGCTTAGAGAGAAAGGCGGTCACGGCTCAGGAGTCAAAAGAGACAGAGATTCATAAGAGGAAATGGGAGAGAGAGAGAGAGAGAGAGAGAGAGAGAGAGAGAGAGAGAGAGAAGACATTTGTTACCTCAGACGGTTTTAGGTTTCATAGTGACGTTATTTTAATTAAGATGTATTTGAGGGAAATGCAGAAATCAAAAAAATACCCTGGCTTTCCGTTTCCCCTCCACGGAAAAGAGCCAGCTTTGCCAAGCTTGTTTGATTTCTCCATTTGTGTGCTAACAGTACCCACCCTTTGACTGCCCCCACTCCTGCTTGGCCAAGCCCACCTAGACCTAGGCAGTCAGTTGAAGAGACAACGGCAGCCACTCACTGCGATATCACCAATGAAAGGGTATCTAAGGAAGAAACGGTGGAAATCGTTCATTTAGAATAAAACAATTCAAATTGGAAAAGCGGGTATCACAGTATCTCAGGCACTTCCCTCACGAGATTCATGACTGGACTCATAGAGCCCACATGGCGGAGGGAGAGAGCAGACGCCTGAGGGTTGTACCAAGGTATGCATAGGTGCCTTCACACACACACACACACACACACACACACACACACACACACACACACACACACACGTATGAAAGTATGTACACAAGAACATACATATGCAGACTATAATACACACACTACATACACTCATAATCACACATGACATACACACACATATACACACGCTCATGAATACTCACACACCATATACACACCTATACACACACACACTTCATTCATACACACTATACATACATACAGTCATATATACATACACACTCAGGAACACTCAAGCACTTCATTCATACACACTACATATCCATACACACATACACACACGACATATACACATACTATAAACACACAGTCAAGTACACACACACAGTGCATACATACATTGAAAAGAAGTTTTAGGGGACTGGAGAGATGGTTCAGTGGTTAATAGCACTGACTGCTCTTCCAGAGGACCAGGGTTCAATTCCCAGCACCCACATGGCAGCTCACAACTGTCTGTAACTCCAGTTCCAGGGGACCTGACACCCTCATACAGATATACATGAAGGCAAAGCACCAATGTACATAAAATAAAAATAAACTATTAAAAAAGAAAAGCAGTTTTAGAATATATCAAACTTGGAAACAGATGCTAAAGAACAGCAAAAAAATAATAAAAATGTAGAGGTTGGTGTCAGCTTCCCCGAGAAACTGACTTTTCCATCTCTTCTTTCACTTCAGTGAGCTCAAAAACTGTGAGGCTGGCCAGAAAGAAAGACAAAGGGCCAGAAACCCAGTGGCAGAGCAGCCTTTGTGTGGGAAAGGACTAGAAGAAATGCTTATGTCTGCTTACAGGAGAGGGGTAGTGGGGGAACTTTTCCCTTTGGCCGGGAGGGCAGTTTCCAAGACGGGTTTCTTAGTGCAGCCCCGGCTGTCCCGGAACTAAGTAGATCAGGCTGGGTTGCCTGTCTCTGCCATAGCAATGGGGAGACCCCGAGGAAGGGGAACCCCATTGTCATGACAGCATGGTCAAAGGAGGAACACAGGGGCCACAGAATCTTAGTGTGGAAATCCCACACAGAAGGACTAGAAAAAAAAAAAAAAAAAAGGAAAAACTCCAGAGATTTCCAGGCGGTTTGCCCTCAGATTCCATTCAGAAATTAACCCAGAGGAAGCATCATGCGCCCTGCTGTCATTCCCGCACTGTGGCGGGGATCTCAGCCTGAGGGTTGCCAACATTTTGGGAGTCGCACATCAGATCCTGCATATCAGATATTTACATTGTAATTCATAATAGTAGCAAAATTACAGTTATGAAGCAGTAACAAAAATAATTTTGTGGTTAGGGATCACCACAACATGAGGAACTGTATTAAAGGGGTCTCAGCATTAGGAAGGTTGGGAATCACTGGCCTAGAATTCAGTTTGAGGCCAACATGCCTGACATGAGAGACCCTATTTCTTTCAGACACAGGGTTTCACTAAGTAGTCCTCCCTGGCCTGGAACTCTCTATGTGGACCAAGTCGGTAGATCTACTTGCCTCTGCCTCCAGAGCTCTGAAACTCTAGAGGCTTTTTTCCCTATTAAATTTAATTTATTTAAATGTATTTTATTAAGTTTTGTTTTTAAAATAAATTGATTTATCCTATTTAATTTTTTAAAAATTTAGAATGATCTCATATGGCTCAGTTTGGTTTCAAACTCGCTATGTAGTTCAAAATGGCTTGAATTTCTGATCCTCCTGCCTGCGTCCCCAAAGCGCTGAGATAACGGGTTTACATAGAACACTAGGTGTCTGAGTCAGGCCCTGAGGCTTATTCCACAGCAGGCTCCCAGCCCGGGTTTCCTTTTGCCCCCCCCCCCCTCGCCCGCCCGCCCGCCCCTCTTCTCTACCGCCCCCTCCACCGGGGCCTCAGACTCACAGCGATCCAAGTGGGAGCTTTCTGAGTGCTAGAATTTTAGACCTGCCCACCCCGGAGCGGGGGCAGGGTGGGGGCGGGTTTACTGCGCCTGCGCAGAGGGTTTTTTTTTTTTTTTTTACCCAGCCAGAATTTCTTTCCCTTCAGTAGCCGGCACCGATTCTGACGGACGGGCCCTGCTTCAGCGCTGCTAGGTGGAATCCCGGAGTCTCGACATTCGCCGTCCTTGTAGACCAAGGAGGAGCTGAAACGGCTCCCGAACTCCATGAATCTCCACACCCCTCTCGCCCGGTCGCCACGGCTGCTGCTACCGAGCCTGCTGCTGCTGCTGCTGCCGGACCGCGCGAAAGCCCGTGAGTAACCCGCTGGCCTGCTCGCTCCCGGTCCCGTGTGCACCTGTGGGCCCCCGGGGGCCCCCCCCCCCGACCATCTGATCCCTTCTTCGCCGCCCAAAGTTTAAGGTCTAGATTCCGGGGCACAGATTCCAGAAAGATTGGGCGTGATGGCTCACACCGGCCACCCTTGAACCAGGGAGGATAAAGCAGGAGGATTGCCCAGAGTTCCAAGTTAGCCTAGGCTCCAGCATAAGGCTCCCCAATCTCCCTTCCCACCCCCAACACAAGCTCTGACTCTCACCCTACAACCTTCACTTGCGGCCACACCCTATGCGTAAGGAACGTGTGGCGTGAAGGATCCCCACAGCCCCGCGGCTTTCGTTCAATGTTTTAGTTGTGTTAAAGACTGAAACCAGCCCCTCACTAGAAGATTCTGGTGAAGGGCTCTACCCCTCAGGACGTCTGGGTGGTGTGGTAAGATAGAACCTTGGTCCCCACACATAGCAAACTGGAGCTCAGCTCTGGACCTGCCCCATTCTTTCGGAGGCAACTCACCAGAGGGCAGCAACTCAGAGATATTAGTCAGGAGGCGGTGCCCCACGCGCTTAATCCCAGCATAGCCAGGGCTACTTTGAAACTGCATGCCGAAAAGAGAAAGAAAAGGAAGAATAGAAAGACTTCTGTGTAGGTCCACCTCTGTTTTGTTTTTGTGTTTTCGAGACAAGGTTTCTTTGTGTAGCCTTAGCTGTCCTGGAACGCACTCTGTAGAGCGGGCTGGCCTCGTATTCACAGAGATCCATTTCCATCTCCCTCCTGCGTGCTGGGATTAAAGGTGTATGCTACCACCACCACCACCACCACCACCCTCCACCCCCGTCAAGATCCACTGCTTAAGGGTTTAAATCTTTGCACGGGTGGACTATTGGTGGTCGTTTACATCTAAATTAGAGAGTCCATTTTCCAGATGCAGAAACTGATGCCACAAGAGCAACCCTGTGCCGAGGAGCCCATGGCTCATCATGGCAGTGCTTGAATTCCCAGAATTTAACTCTGAAGTCATTATCCTTGTTACCCAGAGTGCCTGATACTGTTTTCAACTAATGTTGAGAGCCAACTGTGTCTTGGGCTAATGACAGAAAGAGTCTCACAGAGAGCCTACTGGAATGACTATGAATCTACTTTGTCACCTTATGCCTGTGTCTTATGCCTTATGCCTCTAACAAAACCTTCTGTGCCTCCATTTCCCCGTTCATAAGTGACGCTTCTAGCCCAGTATGGTGATGTACACTTTTAATCCCCTCATTTAGGAGGCAGAGGTAGAGGTGAGCAGGTCTCTGAGTTCCAGGCCAGCCTGGTCTATATACTGAGATGCTCTCTCAAATAATAATAATAATAATTATAAATTAGAATGTAAACTAAGTAGGTGGAGAGATGACTCGGCTGTTAAGAGCACTAGCTGGTCTTGCAGAGGACCTGGGTTTGGTTCTCAGCTCTCACATGGAAACACACAACCCTCTGTAACACAAGTTTGGGGAGGGAAATCTGATGCCCCCTTCTGGCCTCCATGGGCACTGCACACATGTGGTGCACATGCAAACATGCTAGCAAGTTAACATACAAATAAATCTTTAAATTAATTGAACTAATAAGGCCTCTGGTTTCACAGCTTCCAGTGTATCCGTGCAGGTGCCCACTAATGTGACTGGCTTCTTGAATGAGTCTACCGCCTTGTTATGTAGTCTGATGTCTACTGAGAATGTGACAGTCACCCAAGTAACCTGGATGAAGAACAACCCAGATGGCTCCCGCTCTACCGTGGCTGTCTTCCACCCCACCAAGGGACCCAACATCCCAGACTCAGAAAGGATGACGTTCTTGGCCCCCAACCTGAACGGGCATCCTTGGAACGCATCTCTGGCCATTTCCCACGTGCGAGCCGAAGATGAAGGCATCTATGAATGTCAATTTGCCACATTCCCCACAGGCAGCAAGAGCAACAGTGTACATCTGCGGGTGCTTGGTAAGTGATAGGGTGAGAAGAAACCCTGGGGCCAGAGGAGCAGAGAGCTAGCCAAAAGCAAGAAGGCTTGGGTGACAACCTTGGGACATGACATATCCTCTAAGTCAAAAGATCCAGGCAGGATCCATGTAGCCCAGGCTAGCTTGTAGTTAAGGATGACCTTAACCTCCTGACCTTCCAGCCTCTGCTCATGAGCGCTGGGATTACAGGCATTGCACCCCAGTCCCCCAAACCCTTGTTAAGATGTGGTCTCTCAATATGTAACCCTGGCTAACCTGAAGCTTGTTATTAGGTAGACCAGGCTGGCCTCAAACTCACAGAAATTCTCCTGCCTCTGCCTCCTGAGTGCTGGGATTATAGGTGTGTGCCACCACCATCCAACTGAGCATTTCTTTTTAATGTATTTAAATGTACCAGGCTTTATCTTTTTGGGCCACCAACCAGCTCCCAAGTCATGACACAGAAACCTATTAGTGTTGAGTGCTCAGACTAGCTTAGGCTCATTCCTGGCTAGCTCTTTTAATTTAAATTAGCCTGTTCTCTTTATCTAAGTTTTGCCTCGGGGCTTTTTACTTTTCTTTCCTTCTATATATCTTACTTTCTTGCTTCTCATGTCTGTCTGTCTGTCTGGCAACTGCCTGGCTTCTTGCCCCAGGTATGTCCCTCATTTTCTCCTCCTTTTCTTTCTTTTCTTGAGACTACATTCTCTTATGTATTCTCTTCCCACCAGCCCCACCTATCCTTTCTTCTGCCTAGCTGTTGACCATTCAGCTTTTTATTAGGCCAATCAGGCGCATTAGGCAGGCAAGGAGAAACAACAACAGATCTTTACATTGTTAAACACACATCCTTACATCATTAAACAAACGCAGCATAAACAAATGTAACATATCTTTACATAGTTAAACATTCCACAACATATATATATACATATACACATATATAATATAGATAGATATATACAGTGTATGTTATCTATATATATAACATACATGAGTGTTTTCCTGCATATATATCTTTGTGCCACCCGTGTGTCTAATGTGGAGGAGGCCAGAAGGGGGTGTTGAATCCTTGGTGTTAGTTGTGAGTACCATGTTGGTGCTGGGAATTGAACCCCAATCCTCTGGAAGAGCAGCCAGTACTCTTAACTGTTGAGGCCTCTCTCCAGCTCCCTCCCAGAGATCATTCTGACAGCTTGACCTGTGTATTCTTTTTTGTTGTTGTTGTTTGGTTGGTTAGCTTTTCGAGACGGGGTTCCTCTGTGTAACAAGCTGTCTTAGTTAGGGTTTCTATTGCTATGAGAGAGACCACAGCAACTCTTATAAGGAAACATTTAATTGGGATGACTCACTTACAGGTTCAGAGGTTCAGTCCTTTATCATCACGACAGGGAGCATGGCGGTGTGCAGGCAGATGTGGTGCTGAAGCTGAGAGTGCTTTCAAACCACAACAGCCCTGGCTGTCCTGTACCTCGCTCTGTAGACACAGGCTGGCCTCGAACTCACAGATCCGCCTGCCCCTGCCTCCCAAGTGCTGGGATTAAAGGTGTGCATCACACAGGCCAATGACCTGTATGTTCATTTTATCTTCCTTTGACAGACAGACGTGTCTACATCTATCTGACTCTTCAGGAGCAGGGTTGAGGTTTTTTTTTTTCATTATATTTTATTTATTTGTGTGCCTATGCATAAGTGTCATGATGTACCTGAGGCTGTCGGGGAACAAGGTGCAGGAGTTGTCCTACCACGTGGGTCCTGGGGATTGAACTCAGGCTGTCGAACTTAGCGGCAAGCACCCTTATCCACCCAACCATCTTGCCAGCCCAGATCTAGGATTTCAAATTGACCAGCACATACCCTGTAAATTGTCCCTTCAACACCAAGCATAGTGGTGTTTGAAGCTAAAGGCTCATGGGCCCAACCAGAGCTACACAGTGAGATCTTGTCTCAAAAAAAAAAAAAAATCCAGGTTAAGGGGCTTGCTTCCCCCTGCTACTGAGCAGCCTGTAAAATGATGAGTCTTCAATGGTTCTTGCAGCCCGACCTACAAACATTGCAGAGGCCCTGACGCCTTCTCCTACCTGGAAGCTGCAGGACTTAGCTAAGTGCACCTCCACTGGCGGTCGCCCTCCACCGCAAATTAACTGGCTCTCAAACCTAAATGGAAGCGAACGCCGTGAAACTACGGAGCCAGGGCCCCAGCCTGGCACCTTCACAGTCACCAACTTCTTGTCCTTGATGCCCTCGAGGCTTGCCGATGGCAAGAACATCACCTGCAGAGTGAAACATGAAAGCTTCCAGGAGCCGGAGCTGCTAACTGTGACCCTCTCTGTGCCCTGTGAGTACGTCTGCGCATGCGCACGCGCATAAGCCCCAGGCTACTACCTCCATCTCGCCGCTGTCTATACTAATTTATCCACCATTTGCTCTCATGCCTTAGACCCCCAGCCCTGAGAGCTGGCATTGTCTCTGCTACATGGACCCGCTTACTTTTTCTAAGAGACTCACTGCTTACCCAGCATGGTCCCCTTGCCCCATTGTCTATGCTGATCTGCGCGTTCACATTCTACTTCCCCAAACATGTAGACTCTGCCTATGTTGACTCCGCCCACAGTTTGACCCTAAGTCCCTGGTCAGTGCTCACATGGTCCTCCAGGGTAGTCTACACAGCCTGGCGCTGTCTACACTGGCTTGTCTCTGGACTGTCTATGTTCTCTCCACATGTAGTTAGCTGTGATTTATGGATGGAGCCTCACACTCTGTACCCAGGGTCATCTCCCTTGCCTAGCCTTGTCGACAATGCCACCTGCAGACACAGAAGTAGCCTCAGAAAACCTTGACTGTTTCAGATTTTCTAATGACTGTCTTAGTTCAGCGCCTTAGAAGACGCCCCGGGATCTGGCTCAGTTGGCAGACTGCTTCTCTAGTGTGCGCAAAGTCGTGGGTTTGAAACTCAGCACCCAGGAAGCAGATGCCAGAAGTTCAAGGTCATCCTAGGGCTTGGTGGAAGCACATTCAAGTCCAGCCTGGGCTACATGAGACCCTGTAAGTCTGGTGTGATAGTGCACACTTAGAATGATTTCTTAGACAGTCTTGGTGAGACTTTTTACATTCTTCTTGCCAGACTAAATCTTCAGAATCGTGTGTCTTAGACCAGGCATGAAGCCCTGGGAGTCTGTGTGGCTGGTGGTTACCATATTGGACTGTGGGGATTTATCTACACACATGCCCACGCATGCATGCACGCACACTCATTTATCTATCTATCTATCTGTCTGTCTGTCTGTCTCCTATACAAGGTCTTGAGACATTCTACACACCTTCCTTCCTGTCATTGCCTATCCCGGGCTCTCTCTTCCATGATTTCTCGGAGCCTTGAATGTGCTCCTGGGTGTTTGGAGTGCCCAGAAAAGTCCTGACGCACAGGACACCCAGGACGAGCCAGGGGCTGTTCCGGGAAACACACTGAAAGGATCTGTGGAATCCCCTTCATGTCCCCCTCACTAACGATGCCCTGGGCTGATCCCCAAAGTGCCAAGCTGCCCCCTGCTCGGGAGAGAGCCCTCAGACACTGTCCAGATCTCAGCCTTCATGTCCATTCTCTCCAGATCCGCCTGAAGTGTCCGTCTCTGGCTCTGAGGGAAACTGGTATGAAGGTCGTACTGACGTGGCCCTGTACTGTGATGCTCAAAGCAAACCAGAGCCCACTGCCTATGAATGGAGCACGTGAGTGAGGGGACCTGGGGCTGGCTGTGCGGAAGGAGGGCTGGGCTCAAACCCCACCAGCTATAGATAGAGCACTGAGTGATAGGGACCTGGGGCTGGCTGCGTGGGAGGAGGGCTAGGCTCAGAAGCCACAGGTCTGAGAGTGGGGAGACAATAAAAATAGAGCAATAAAAATAGAGTTGGGCATGATGGTGGCGCACACCTTCAATCCCAGCACTTGGGTGGCAAAGGCAGGTGGATCTCTGTGAGTTTGAGGACAGCCTGGTCTACAGAATGAGTTCTAGGACAGCCAGGGCTACACAGTGAGACCCTGTCTCGAAAATAAATGAATAGTGGCTGGAGAGATGGCTCAGAGGTTAAGAGCACTGGCCGCTCTCCAGTGCAATTCCCAGCACCCACATGGCAGCTCACAACTCCAGTTCCAGGAGATCTGATACCCTCACACAGACATACATACAGGTAATAAAAAAAAAAGAACATAAAATATAAATTTAAAAAAAATATCAAAACAGGTAGAATCATTCTATATTCCCAGTAAAAATTTCATCTTGTGACTGGGGATTTTCTGAGGAGCTGATCCAGGCAACGGCCACTGGCTCTCCTGGGATTTTTTATACCCACACCCCTTGGGATTCCCCATCTCTGTGCAGGTTGAAGGTCACAAAGCACTGGGACAATGGCTTAATACTGGCAAGTCCCTGGGTGAGCCCTCACAGGACAGAAGCAAATCAAAGATGTCTGACTTATCCCCAGACAAGGGTTCCTGACTGCCCCGCCCCTGAAGCCTGTCAGTCATCCCAGTGTGCAGATGAGGAAGTTAGCCCCGGAGCTGTGAAAGCTCTGGATTCGTTTGGAGGCTGAGAGTGTAAGAAAGGGAGAGAAAGTGCTTACTGTACACACATGAGGACCTGACACTGATGCCAGCACCCACATGAGTAAAGACCTCATTTCTGTTTATAATACGCTCACGTGAACATCCATGCAGGCTGCTCTCACGTGAACATCCATGCAGGCTGCTCTCACGTGAACATCTATGCAGGCTGCTCTCACGTGAGCATCCATGCATGCTGCTCTCACGTGAGCATCCATGCAGGCTGCTCTCACATAAACATACATGCAAGAAAAGGGTGATTTTTTTTTCTTCGGTGTAGGCTGGAATCCAGGGTCATACACTAGGAAAATACTTTACTACTGAGCCACACCCCACCCCAGCCCCTCACTGGGGGATTCTAGCAAGCTTTCTGCCACCTGCTCAGATGTATAAATAACACATTTTTATTAGACTTCTTTTAAAAAAAAATAGTAATTTGGCTCAACCATTCTAGAACTTTCAAACAGCTCCATTAGAAGCAAAAACAGTGTGTGTACCCAGGTACAGCCACCCATGTCCCAAAGCAACTTCTATTATGTTTGGTTAGTCACACACACATACAGACGCCTGCCCCTGTCTTTTTCTCTGGTTCCCAACAGCTGTAATTTTTCCCCAAGGTGCAATTTCCACACCTTTACCTCCATCTTAAAAATATTGAAAAAAAAAAGCACTTAGTTTCACAACCCTGTTTCCTCCAACATCTTGGTAGAGAAATTTTCAAATATATAGTCATAGGAATTTTCCAAATGAGTGCTCAAAAAACCCAAAATCCAACCTCAAGGATTCTCCCACTAATATTTCACTTCTCCTAATTTGATGTTTTGGAAAATTGCTGCATTTATTCGTTTATTTTACTGGGAGTAGGGCCCCCAGCACCACAGTACACATGTGGAGGTCCGAGGACAACTCGCAGGAGCTGGTTCTCTCTTTCCAACATGTATGTTCTGGGGCTCGACCTCGGGTCATCAGGCCCCATCTTTGGCTTTTTGAGACAGTCTCTGCATAGACCTCAACATGGCTGGCCTTGAACTTGCTGCAACCCTCCTGCTTCCTGTCCCCAAGGTCTGGAACTATAGGTGTGGTCCAGAACGTGAAGATCCTTTTGCCTCAGCTTCCTGCTTGGTAGGATTCCTGGGGTCACCACCAGACCCTGACCATAGTTTGATGTCATTAGAGTCTTTTCTGTATGTGTCATCAATTACTTAAGCAATCCTTAGGGCCAGGTGTGGTGGCACACGACACTCCACAGGCAGAGGCAAGTGGGTCTCTGAGTTCAAGGCCAGCCCAGTCTGCAAAGCAAATTCTAGGCCGGCCAGAACTACATGGTGGGAGTCTTTATAAAAATAAAACAAACCAGTCCATACTGTGGGATAAGGTGACTATTTTTATATGTTAACCATGTGGTCATGCCATGGTGGTTGGTGACCAGACCACATTAGCTGTTCTCTGGGTACCAGTTTCCAGCGGAAGGAACTGACATCAAAGATTTGGCATCATTAGAACTGGGATCTTGACTGAGGGGGAGAGCACCTGCCTATAATCCCCCAGCGAGGTGCTGGGAGTTTGGCTCCTTGATTAGTGGTTATTTAGTATGGGTTCTACCCTCAATACAAAAGAAAAAAAGGTGATGGTGGGGGCACAGAGCATAGGGGTGCCTCGGTGCTTGAGTGGCTGAGGCAGGAGTATTTCCCAAACGCCACAGCCGAGGGTGTCAGACCAGATGGGTGGTTGTGCTTCCCCCTCGCTTCGGTAGAGGTTCAGAACTCCACACTTCCACGCCTTCCCCTCCCTGCTGGGATATGTTCTCAGGGCTTGGGCCCATCCTTCAACCCTATGCAGTGCCTGAAGTTGGCCAAAGTCCATGCTCTCCATAAAGTTGACCAAAGTCTAAGCTCTCAACCTCATCAAACAAGATAGAGTTATAAAGAAAGTCTGGGGAATGTCTGGTATAGATAAAACAAGGGTGGGGATTTGGGAAAGGGGGTTGCTTTGCAGTAGAAACAGTGGGGCGAGACCACAGAAGTGGATCAGGCAGAGCTCTCTGCACCTGGAGGAATGGCATTGTGGGTAGAGAGAATGACATGTACAAATGCATTTCTGTCCATCAGCTGTTGCTTCTGGAAAGGCCTAAGTGGGGTGTTGGTGCGTGGGGCAGGAGGTCCATGTGACTGTGCACAGGGAGGCGAAGGGGAGTGCTGAGGGCACTGGTAAAGAGGGGCGCATCACATCCCAGAGGTGGAGCCTGGGGTTTGCTCTGCCTGAGGCCTGGGTCTGGGAAGTGGAATTGGGTTCGTGCGCGCCCTCTTGTGGCCATATGGGGAACAGCCACAGGCGAAGAGGAATCCAGAGCCTGGGAACATGAAGATGTGACCAGTGCGGGCTTGCACAGTCTGTCAGCCTGTATGTGGCTAGAGCTGGTCTGTGTCCCTACCACACTGTGGATGCCCCATCAGCAGAGGCTGCCTACTCACCATCTTGTCTCCTCCAGGACTACAGGTCCTCTGCCCAACAACACTGAGGCCCAGGGCAATCGGCTCCTAATCCACAAGGTGAACAAGACCACTATCAATAATGTGACCTTCGTCTGCAATGTCACCAATGCCCTAGGATCTGGGCAGAACCAAATAACGGTCCATGTTAAAGGTGAGCTGTCCTCAGACTAGGAGGGAAGGGTACAGCAGGATGGCCCCCAGGGATGGGAGCTGGGTGTGCGTGTGGCTGAATGACGGCAGGTCACAGATTTCACTAGCCCGGGCTACGGCGGATGTGGGATACCTCTGACCTGAGGACTCGGAAAACCCCCTCCAAGCGTCCTGGACATAACTCTACCGGCTACAACTGAGCAAACGAAGACTGAAAGGGCAGTCCGGGCGCACGGGGATGACTCAGCGGCCAAAGGTGCTCGCTGCCAAGCCTGACCTGAGCTCAATCCTTGGCACACTTGGTGGAAGGAGACACCCAACTTCCACAGTTTTCTTCTGCCCTGCACTTATACCCACCATGGCCGGCATGTGTGCACACATATGCAACGCACACACATAAACAATCGTAATTTTTAATTGGAAAAAATAATTTGTTGAAAATACAGCTTCAGTTCTGGTTAGATCTAGGTGTTAGACCTACATCACCCAGGAATTCTCTTTACCTCTCTCTTTTTTAAAATTTATTTTATTTATTATCAATATAGTGTTCTGCCTGCATAGCACATGATCAGATCTCATTACAGATGGTTGTGAGCCACCATGTGGATGCTGGGAATTGAACTCATGACCTCTGGTAGAGCAGTCAGTGTTCTTAAGCTCTGAGCCATCTCTCCAGCCCCTTCTTTACATCTCTTATCTCTGACGCCAGGTGTAGGGTACACACCAATAATCTCAGTACTCGGAAGGCTGAAACAGTGATAAAGACAGTTTGGGGCCAGCCTGGGCTAATTGCCTAATTCTGCCTTTTTTTTATGCTGGGTTAGATATCAGGCAGAATCTTCCCAGGCTAGACAAGGAGAATGGGATGTCCCAATTGACCAGGCTAATGTGAAAAGAGAAAAAGGAAATCCCAGTTGCTTGCATAGCATGCAGGAGATCCTAGGTTCAAGCTGCAGCACCCCATCTACCTGGTTCACACCTGGTTGTGGTGCAAGCCTGTAATCACAGTGCATGGGAGAGAGAGTGGGAGGAGAAATGGGCACATGGGGTTATCCTTGGCTACAGAGCAAGCTTGAGGCCAGCCTATGCTGCAGGAGCCCCCATCTCAAACAAACATCCCCCTGTAGGAATTGTAAAACGTGGCCAACACCTAGACACTGTAGACTGAGGAAGATGGGGTTCCCCACAAAACACGGGATTGTTTCAAAGATGCAGGTGTAACTTGAAAGTTGGGTAACCTCACCTGCTCACCCATTTATTTTCCAGAGTCTGTGCCATCAGTCCTAGGCACGGCCACCATCATCGGCATCGTCGTCGCTGCTGCACTTCTCACACTTATAGGATTCTGGTGTTATTGTGGTGAGTCTCTTCTTCCTCGGTACATTCTCCCACCCACTTGCCAAGGCCACTGCAAAGTAGTCCCTGCTATGTGTGAGGGATTCTAGGCAGGGGCTCTACCACTGGGCCACACCCCAGCCCCTCACTGGGGAATTCTAGGCAGGGGCTCTACCACTGGGCCACACCCCAGCCCCTCACTGGGGGATTCTAGCCAGGGGCTCTACCACTGGGCCACACCCCAGCCCCTCACTGGGGGATTCTAGGCAGGGGCTCTACCACTGGGCCGCACCCCAGCCCCTCACTGGGGGATTCTAGGCAGGGGCTCTACCACTGAGTCACACCCCAGTCCCTCACTGGGGGATTCTAGGCAGGGGCTCTACCACTGGGCCGTACCCCAGCCCCTCACTGGGGGATTCTAGGCAGGGACTCTACCACTGGGCCACACCCCAGCCCCTCACTGGGGGATTCTAGGCAGGGGCTCTACCCCTGAGCCACACCCCAGCCCCTCACTGGGGGATTCTAGGCAGGGGCTCTACCACCGAGCCACACCCTCAACCCCTCGTTTTTTCAAAGAGCACACTTTCTCTAAGCACTAGCTCTGAGTACCACTGAAGTCTGCACAGAAGCCTGTGTTGTGTACAGGAAGGAACGCGTTGACACTGATCAGCCTTTGCAGCCATAGAGCTGCAGAATGGCCCATCAGTCATAGAAGGCCCTGCTTCATGACTGGCTTTCTCCCTCAGTCATGAAACAACCCTGCCGCCTTTTTACACAGTTTTACACAGGCCAGACTTGCTCATTCCTTGTGATCACTGTGGAGACGTGAGTCTCTCTTCTAGTGGACTGTGAACACAGAGGGCTTGGCGGGGACTGTCAGGGTCAAGGCTAGCCTCAGGTACATAGGTCAGCCTGTGCTACGGGGAACAGAAAAACAAAACAACAACAACAAGGAGAGGCAAGGGAAGAGAATGAATATATCAGGGTCCCAATAATTCCTTCAGGGTCACACTCCAGTGTCTTACCTTCCTCCCTGGTAGGCTCTGCCCGCTCCTGACACCTTGAATCTAGACCTTTAACACAAGGGCTTTTTTGGGTGGCATTCAAAAGCCATACTCTAAGATGGGTGTGGTGATGCGGGCCTCTGTCATCCCAGCACTTGGGAGGTAGAGGCAGGAAGATTGTGAGTTGGAAGCCAGCCTGGGCTGTATGACAGAGCCTACTCCTCCAAGATAAACCTGCACTATAGCCCCTGTTTTAGTGCAACAAATGGTGCCCAACGTGGGGAACTGCATCCACATAAAGCCTGAGAGAGCTTGGAAAGTATTCTAGACAGAAAAGGATAGAGTAAAGCATGGCTTTATTGATAGCAGCACTTTCTCAGGTGGGCTCTGCTTGCTAGAGGCAGGCGCTCTCATTTAAGAGAGGCTTCCTGACTCAGCTTTAGCTGCAAAACCTTGCAGCTCTTTTAAGTGGTCCCGCCACGAATGAAAAGCTGACCATATGCTTTTGATGGTGGGGCCTCATTATGTCAGGGATGGAGGGGGTGACTTCATCTCTGTGACTCGGTTTCCTCATCTGTGAAAAGGGTGGAATGACACGTGCCATAGCACAGCACTTGCTGTGTGGGAGCCGCGCACTGGGAATCCATTAACTACGATGATCATCATCATCATCAGTGACCCGGAGAGGCCGGTTGTCTGTGTTGTTCTCAGCTATATCCCCGGTGTCTTCAATTCCCTTATCACAAAGGAGGTTTTTTCCTTTTAATCCCTACTAGATAGCTGAGGGAACGGAGACACCAAGAAGTTAAGTCACTAGGCCCAAGGTCACACCAGCCCTAAAGAACAGAGATGGAATTTGGGCCCTTGAGAAAATGATTTTGTTTTTGAGACAAGGTCTTACTCTGTAGTCCCAGCTGACCCCGAATCCAGTACATAGATCAGGGTACTCTGAACTCACAGAGATCCCCCTGCCTCTGTGTCCGAAGTGCTGGGATTGAAGGTGTGCACCACCATGCCTGGCTTTATGTTTTCTTTTGTCAACTTGCATGGGTGTTTTCTATCTGCGTGTATGTCTACACAGCACATCCATGCAGTTCCCACAGCCAGAAGAAGGCGTCAGGTCCCCTGGAGTTAGAGTTACAGATGGTTCCAAGCTGACATGTGGGTGCTGGGAGTTGAATTCAGGTCCCAGAGGAGCCATCTTTTGGGTTCTTTTGTTTTCTTTTGTTTTGTTTTGTTTAGACTGGGTCTCATGTAAATCTAGGTTGACCTCAAATTCTTTATGTAGCCTGAGATGACCCTGAATTACTGGTTTATCTCTAAAGTGTGTGCTACCTCCCTGTCCTGCATCAATGCAGGGGTGGAAGAGGACTGACCATTCTCAGATCCTCTTCCCACGATTCCCAGCCTAGACGCCCTCTTTTCCATGATTCCCAGTCTAGACACCCTCTTCCCACAATTCCCAGTCTAGATATCCTCTTCCCACGATTCCCAGGATCTCTTTCTCTTTGACAATTTATCTCGTTTCTCCAGTTCGATCTCGGCGGTCCAGGTCCGATTCCAGGTCCAATTCCAGGCCCTCAGCGGAGGCGGTGAGTACAGAGGCACAAGGGAGGAATACAGGGGTCTGAGTGGACCACGAACCTGTTTTCTGGGACTCTCTCAAGGAGGGGGCAGATAGCTGCAGCATGGTGTCGGGAAGCTGGGGCTTTCCAGGTGCCCAGCTTGTGCACCACTGGGAGGGAGTGGAGACTTTGGGGGATGGGTTCTGGTGGGAGGGACCTGGGTTGTGCTGAGTGTGTCTCTGGAGGGGATATTGGGACCATGCACACACAACCCCACTCAGGTTTTTATTATTGTTTTCTGCTTTCTGCACTTTTTAGGCTTGAGGGTGGGGTTGAGACAGTTTCTCATGTTCTTCTGGCTGTCCTGTGACTTGCTCTGTAAACTGAGCTGGCCACGAACTCACAGAGATCTGCCTGCCTCTGCCTCCTGACTGCTGGGGTTCTTTTTTTTTGAGATTTATTTATTTATTATATATGCAGTGTTCTGTCTGCCTGCCTGCAGGCCAGAAGAGGACACCATATCTCATTATAGATGATTGTGAGTCACTATGTGGTTGCTGGGAATTGAACTCAGGACCTCTAGAAGATTAGCCAGTGCTCTTAACCTCTGGGCCATCTCTCCAGCCCCTGCTTTTTAGGTTTTTTGAGATCAGGCCATCCTTTGAACTCACTGTCTGGCCAAGGCTGGCCTTAGCCTCTCAGCCTACCCATCTCTGCCTTCCTAATGGTGGAATTACAGGCGTGTGCCACTGCATCCAGCTCACTTAATTTTTTGAGACATCTCACTGTGTAACCTAGGTTAGCCTCTGACTCATGAACTTCCTGCCTCAGACTCCAGAGTGCTGAGGTCATGAGACATGCCTATCTCCTAAGCCCTGCCTGTGACCACTGCTTAGGGGCCCAAGTGCTCTTTGAACACTTCACTGGGAAAATTGTTTATCTGAGAGAGGCCCCGACTGATGTTTGATGTCCCCCTTCCAGTATTCACCTGTGAACAACAACATCAACTCTACCAATGACATAGAGATGAACAGCATGAATTCCCATAACTGAAGAACTTAAAGCTTCAACAACTGGAACCACACAGATAGATGAAGAAGCCTCCGGAGAGACTGACTGCCCAGTGTGGTGATTGCCAAACGTTCGGGGGTCTCCCAGGACCCTAGTAAATTCCACATTGTCAGAAAGCACTCATGGAGCCCAGTGTGGTAGCCCACACCGTCATTCCAGCAGGAGGACAAACACAAGCTTGCGTCTAGCCTGGGCTACAGAGTGAAGCCCGTGTATACGCAGACAAGCAAACAAACAGGCTTGAGGGCCTGGGAAACTGGAACAAAAGCCGAAGTCTTTCCGTGGGTAAGATAAATCCTCTACCTCATGTTGGACCGTGAAGAATGTTCAAGGAGCTGAAAGACTTTGGCCACTGAAATTCAACTTGAGAATCTCTTTAATAACTGAGTAATTCAGGGCTCTCCACTCTCTTGCCAAGGTCTCACTATGTAGCCAAGGCTAGGCTCAAACTCACAGAGATCCGTCTGCCTCTACCTCCCAAATGCTGGGGTTAAAGGTGTGAGCCATAATACCCTTCTCAGTCTCCCTTTTGATAAAGTGAAGTAAAGAAGATATATTTATTTTTAAAAGCTGTATCATTTTGTATGTATTTTTGAGACAGTTTTATATAGCCCAGGCTAGCCTCAAGCTTACTATGTAAGCAAGAATGATCTTACTAATTTATTCTAACTTATTTGTTTTCAAGCATAAACATCCCCCACCCCCGTCCCCTCCCCTCTCCTCTCAATCCGTTAGTCTCCTTAATTCTCCCAGGACATCATTCTGATTTATGTTTTAACTGCAGACGTTGTTTTATTTAACTATATAAAAATCTGTGAACCACAAATGAAAGAAAATGTATTTGTCTTTCTGAGGCTAACTCAATTTATTTAATATGATTCTTTCCGCTTGTATCCATTTTCCTGCGAATGATGGAACCTTGTTTTTCCTTGTGGCTGAAAAATCCCCAATGTGTGTGTACCACCTTTTCTTTACCCATTCCTCTGTGGGTGCACACCAAGGACGGTTCCGTATCTGAGTTATTGTGCCCAGCCTGCAGTAAACACCAGCATGCAAGTGTCTCTGTGATCTGTCAACCTGGAATTTTGCAGACAAATCCCCGGGAATGGCATAGCTGAGTCATGTGGGCTGTGGATTCCAGCTTTGGAGGAAATTGTGTGCTGACTCCCACCCGTGTGGGGACGAGTCTGCATCTGCACAGTGATGTGTAAAGGTTCCATTTGTCTGCATCCTTGACAGTGTTTGTTGTTTTCTTGATGGTTGCCATTCTGACTGGGGTGGGATAGTGTGTGTGTGTGTGTGTGTGTGTGTGTGTGTGTGTGTGTGTGTGTGTTTGTGTGTGTGTGTGTATGTGTGTGTTAAAGGCTGGGATTAAAGGCATTAAAGGCATGTGCCACCTCCCCCTGGCCCTTCAATATACTTTTAACCTGCATTGTCCTGGTAGCTAATGAGGTCGGACATGGTGGCAGTTTGATTGAAAATGGCCCCTACAGGCTCATAGGGCGTGGCACTGTTAGGAAATGTGAACTTGTTGGTGTTGTGGAATATTATTTTAAGATGTGCTACATTTGTTTACGCTGTGGAGTATTTCTTTAATGATGCAAAGATGTGTTGCGTTTGTTTAACTCTGTGAAACTGTTACTGTGCCTGTCTAAAACACCTGATGGTCTAATAAAAAGCTGAACGGCCAATAGCAAGGCAGGAGTAAGGATAGGAGGGGCTGGCAGGCAGAGAGAATAAATAGAAGGAGAAATCTGGGGAGAGAGAATCGAGGAGCAAGAAGAAGGTGAGAGGCTACCCAGCCAGCCACCCGCTACCCAGCCAGCCACGGAGGAAGAGTGGAAGAACGGTATACAGAAGGAGGAAAAGGAAAAGGCCCAGAGGCAAAAGGTAGATGGGATAATTGAAGTTAAGTCAAGCTAAGGCTGGGCATTATAATTAATAAGTCTCCATGTGTATCTATTTGGGAGTTGGATGGTGGGCCCCAAAAGACCAAAGTAAAGAGTAATAAACAATCAGCAACAGCTGGACTGGGTGTGTCACTGTCACCACAGACTCTGAGTGCTCAAGGTCAGCCCAGTGTTGGCTCCTTCTCTAGCACCACGGCTACCTGCAGGCCACCATGCTCCCTGCCATGATGATAATGGACCGAACCTCTGAAACTAAGCCAGCGCCAGTGTTTCCTTATAAGAACTGTCTTGGTCATGGTGTCTCTTGACAGCAATAGAAACCCTAAACTAAGACAGACATTTTTTCATATCTGTATCGCTATTTGTATTCCATCTTTGGAGAACTGTGTATTTGTTTTGTGAGCCCATTTATTGACTGGGTTGTTGTTTTTCTTGTTTAGTTTTTTTTTCTTTGAAGTAGGGTCTCGGTGTAGGTCTGGTGTCCAGAACTCACAGAAATCCTCCTGTCTCTGCCTCCTAAGTACCACCGCACACTCTGCCTAGATCTTACAATGTTTTCCATACAGTCTTCTCAGCAGTCCCCGATCCCACACTTACATTAAGGTCTGTGGTGCATTTGGATTTGATTTCTGTTCAGGGTGAGATAAAGAGATTGAGCTTCATTCTTCAGGGTGTGATGGACACAGTTTCCCCAGCACCATTTGATGAAAGAGCTGGGGTTTTTTTCCCCATGTTTATTTTTTAACATCTTTATTTAAAATACACACACAAGAAATCACTAGCCAGTCATGGTGGCGCACACCTTTATTTCTAGCTCTCTTGTGAGGTAAGGGCAGGCAGATCTCTGGGAGTTTGAGGCCAGCCTGGTCTACAGGGCGAGTTCCAGGAAAGCTAGAACTATGCAGATAATTCCTTTCACAGAAAGGAAAGAAAGAGAGAAGGAAGGAAGGAGGAAAAGAACAGAAACCAGCTGGCTATAGTTGCATGAACTGTAGCCCAGGCTGTCCTTGAAGTCACTATATAGCTGAGGCTAGCCTTGAACCCCTAGTCCCGCCTCCACCTTCCAAGTGCCAGATTTAAAGGTGTTCAGACTGGAACAGTGGAGGACTGTCAGCTCCGGCAACCTTTTACCAAACCCTGTGTCCTGAGAGGGGTCCTGCTAGGGTAGCTGGGATTGGCAGGTTTTTAACTCACCTGTGAGAGATGCTGGGGCCCCTGCAGCCATGCAGCACCAGGAGGCACAAGAGCTCAAATGTGGCTGCAAGACGCTTTAAAAGACCTTTGGGCGTTAGGACCTGATTCAGGTCCCAGCGCACATGTAAAAAGCACACTTTCACAAATGTATGTGCCTGCACTACACACACACAAACACACTGAAGGACCCCCAACTCGCTTTAGCTACAGTTATGTCGTTTTGCAAAGGTTCACACAAACAAGCTCAGTTCAGGGAAAGGTCCCCGGAATGCTGAGCAAAGCAGGATACCTGAGGTCAGAACGAGGGCAGCCTTATCAGGCTGCAGGACAGGGGATTTATGGTCAGACATCTGGCGAGATATCCAGGACAGCCTTATCAGGCTGCAAGACAGGAGATTTATGATCAGACATCTGGCCTGGATGAAAACAAAGACTTCAAAGGCAACCATATGTGCTTTAGGATAGTCAGGTCAGTTATCTGGTTTCTTTGATCCAGACCAAGGACCACGAGACCTGCCCTCAAATTCACCCCTCACCTCATTCAAACTGACCAATAAGATCCCTGTAACCACGCATCTGCTTTTGTACCTTGCTTCTGCTTGCCCAAGTCCTATATAAACTATCCCAAAACGGAGCCCGGGGTGCTCAGTTCTCCATGTTACTGCAGCACCCACAGGCCTGTGAACAATAAAGTTTGCCTCTTGTTCTTGCATCCAGTGGCTCTCGGACCTGGTTCTTGGGCACGGATCTCCACACATGTGAGACACCCTCTGGGTACTCTTTCAACACGAGTATGCCACACTCATGGGGGTGGTCTCAGCAAACCCCAGCGCAGGCAGAGTAAGAACCCAGAGAGGCAGGAAGGAAATCAGCCCAGCACAACTCAGTAAATGGTGTTGGTTCAAACTTCTAGAGTCTGAACACTGGGTAATGGTTTATTTTAAGCAGATTTGTTTACAGTCAAATTTGACTGTAAAAATGTTTCCTGGTGTAACATAATTCTGTGTGCACAAGGAGACATGATTCCATCGAAATTTGTCAAAGCACATGTCACTTCTTCTATGAAGATGGGTTCTGCAGACAGGCTACATGTGTTATCTTCAGGGCCAAGGGAATGATCTGGTGTGGTCTTGGCCATACAGATAGTGTAGCGGTCCTCTGCTCGTGGTTGGGGAGCATGGGGGAACCCCTGGCCGTACAGAAAGAAAGGATAATTGATGCGGAAGTAAGGGGTTAATCCTACGAGCTACTGCTTTGGCATCTGTAGGTTTACTACGCTAGCACCAGCTGAGCTTCAGGTGTCATCCTTAGAACTGTTAGCTGAGAATCTCCAGAAAGCAACCTGGAGGGCGGAGCCAAACCCTCTGTAATGGTAGGTGGATAAGACCTTGCCCAACTGATGTGACCCGAAATGTTATATTTTGCTCTTTTAGTTAATTTCTCATGAAAGTTAAGCACTCATTTAGGTGTTAATTAGATGAGCAGTGACGAAAGTTCATCACTTAATAAGAAAGTTCGCCTTGGGACAGCACTCGGGTGCTCTAGGTCCCAGCTGTCATTGTTCTGAACTAGCGGCCGGTTCTGTTTTAATTTTTTCCTCATGAAGGGACCATTGAACAATCTATATTGGGTTGTTTCCTCTATGAGAGTGTAAGGTGTTCCGTGTTGCTCGGGATGATCAAAGAAAAACAAAGGGTCACTCCAAGGTGTCATTCAGGCTCAGTGGCATCAGAGAGGAACAGTTTCTGTGAGCTGAACCTCCAACAGCCGTGCAAAGTTGTATTTGTTGACTGTGACATCAAAGTTTCTTTTTGCGAGAAACAAATTTCTCATTCCAAAGCCCCTGATCTAATCTATAGGTTTTTCTGAAGGAAAACATCACACACACCCCCAAGCCTTATTGTGTACTGTTTGCAGCACCCAATAATTCCAGATATCCAGGTGTGCCAGGATCCTCATGCAAAGGCTATGCCTCTCCTTCAGAAAGGAACGCCGTAGACAACAGAGAACAACCACTGTTTTCCACAATGGTTTCTTCAAGGTCTAAGTCCTAGGAAACAACTGTTCATTCCACGTCTGTTGTGGAATAATCTTTTTGTACACTGTGAAGATGTGTCTCTCTGGTTGTTTTTAAAAAGCCAACAGCCAATAGCTTGGCAGGATTTCTAGGCACAGAGGATGCTGGGAAGAAGAAAGGCGGAGTCACCAGCCTGATAAGAGAACAAGGAAGACCTGAGGAGGAGATATAACAGGTACAAGTCATGCAGCAGCACATAAATTGAAGAAATGGATTAATTTAAAGAATTATAAGAGCTAGTTAGAAACAAGCCTAAGCTATCCGCTAAGCTTTCACAGTTAATGATAAATCTCCGTGTCACCACTGGGGACCGGACAGATGTTACCCTAGACTCAGTGAAAGCAACTGTTTCATTCCACTGTTTACCCTCGATACAATGATTCTACTACAGTTCCACTACAGAGCCGGAAACAAGCTAACAAAAAGCCAAGCCCTAGGGCTGTGGAGCCCTAGCTCCCGCTGAGGTGGCAGACTCCACCAGCCCTTGCGGAGAGGAGGAGGAGCCCAGCTGGGAGACTGGGGACCTGTTGTAAAGGTTATCTAGAGTGTTATCTTAAGGGCCTAAGGGCAGAGTTTTGTGTCACCTTGGTTTTACTAGCCACCTCCAGTTCTGCTTGGAGCCCCTGGCCATACAGATAGTGCAAGAGTCACCTAGGCTAAGAGCCACCTCCATTCCCAGCCTTCTGGGCGGAAAACAGGTTACACACTCCTGCTGTTGTTGAAGAGACAGCCCTGCACATTTACCATCCCCTAGTGCTGATCTATGAGCCCAGGCTCACAAACACAAGGCCTTTGGGAGGCTAGGCAGCTGCTCAGGGGTAGAGCACTTGCTGTGTGAAGGGCTGGGTTCCACTGCCAGCACCACAAAACCTTGTGTAAGACTTACTTAATTTTATATGTTTGTTCTGCATGAATGTGTGTGCACCACATGTATGCTGGTGCCCATGGTGGTCAGGAGAGCATTGGCTTCTCTAAAACTGGGATTAAATATGGTTGTGAGCTGCCACGTGGGTGCTGGGAACCAAACTCCTCCAGAAGAGCAGCTG